ATATTAAAATAAATGCATCATAGTTTGGAGTTCTTTTCCTAATGGGATCCAAATCATTAAAGAACAATACAGAGATACTGTGAAACTGTTTATCCGCGTAGTGGTAATAACCATATGTGGATTCCTAAAATTTCTTAAGATCTTCTGGATAATTTTAAATCTTTGAAATTCATTCTATTAAAACATTTGATTTTTCAACCCTGTATACAGCCCCTTGGATGGTGTAAACTTTCCAAAAAAACGTGTATGGTGTAATGGTGTATGGCATATGGTGCAATGGTAGAAGGTGTATGGTGCTATGGTGTATGATGTAAGAGGAATGGTGTAATGGTGTAACGTGCGTTCGGGAATGGTGTGAATGAATGGTGTACGACTGTTAAAACTATGCAAAATATTGATAAGAACTGATTTTTAATTTTATACATTAATTTACAATATTGTGATCAAAACTCGTTTTTTAAAATAAATAAATAATTTTGTAGTCGCACGCTTGTTATACACTTATCCGGGAATTACCTTTATGCCGATAATTTACTCTTACGATATACTCTCATCCCGAAAATTTCAATTCTATGAAGTAAATATGTCTATAAGTATCACTAAGCAAATCTTTTATTAGAGGTGGTAAATTATATTGACGAATGTCATTATTTCATGCATCTTTTTAAATTTAGTCATCTTTAATTTTCATTGAACTAATACTGAAATATGAATAGTAGCCGTCGAGATCTAAAATAATGTCTCACGTGTATCTGTTACCCTAAGAAAAAATCAAAATAGGAATCAGCTAACATTCGCGGTATTTTCGAAGTCCATTTTCGAAGTCCGTTTTCAATTTCAAAATGAGGAGGGAGCGGCATCGATGATTGATGATTTTGTAAATAAGCACCTTTGTTCAAAATATCGAATTAATTAAATTAGGAATTGACAATAGATATCTCTTGTGGATAAGAGAATAATTATGTTGTGCATATATTTATAACCTAAAAAAGGATGAATTAATTAAAAAATCTAACACAAGTGATCCTATAATACCTTTCACTAGATGAAATAAAACTTGTCTGGGACCAGTGATTTTAAATATTAAATGGGCAACCTCAATTCAAATACTGTACAACTACACGAACTCCATCACAAATCGAATTTAAATATTACTGATACATCAGAAACTCAAAATTTTTAACTATTTTGTTAACCACAACTCTTAACCCCTTCTTTTGTTGTTACACCCTTTGCGTTCAGAAAAGTTATAACAGATGTCAAGTTCATATACGATGTATTTATATAAATCATATGCTATTACTTACAGTCATCGGACATGCCGTATAAAATTTCTGACGTTTAATTATGTACGGATCATATGAAAATTGGTGGCGCTAACCTGTATATGTACGTTAGATTTTGACTTTTATATACCGGTAAAACGGAATCGAACCGATTACTTTTTATAAAGGTCTTTGTCTGTCTGCTATTAAGCATTCGTATAAATAATTCTATAATTACTGAAAGAAAGACTTAGTCTATGTTCCACGAAAGCCTATTTATTTCTATTATTTTTGAGCAGGTTGCACAGAATATAAGAAACAATACTGTGTCATTTTGAAAAGAGAGGGGAGATAACTGAAAGCATTATATCTACAAACCTTTTTCTCTGCAACAAATACTCAACTTAATAACATATTTCCTGATAAGAATACCGGCATACAAGATCAAATTGTAGGCTTAATTTTTCCGACTAATTCTAGAAATGGTAAACTCTAAACATGCTAACATTCTGTAGGTGCCTTTCCTAAGTCAGGGGCCTGTAATTAATTCATTAGTAGTTGTTTGTTGCTGTGTATTATATTTGTTTTTCGTTTATTGTTTTGTACATAAAACAGGCCGTTAGTTTTCTCGTTTGAATTGTTTTACATTTGTCATTTCGGGGCCTTTTATAGCTGACTATGCGATATGGGTTTTGCTCATTGTTGAAGGCCGTACGGTGACCTATAGTTGAAAACTTCTATGTCATTTGGTCTCTGGTGAAGAGTTGTATCATTGGCAATCATACCACATCTTCTTATTTTTATATACATAAGTTTACGATTGCTTAATCGTTATTTCTGCAAATTCTCAGAAAGGAAAATTTGCTCACAATATGAGTAACGCTGTATTACACTGTAGAACACTGAGTATTTCCGGGATAAGGGTAATGACATACGAAGTAAAATTGAAGGATAAAAATTTCAGACTTTTTCGGAAAAAAAGCATTATCCAAAAAATATTGCATTGTTTTATCGGTATTTCTGTGTATTTTTCACCACTTGAAACTCTTGGTTTAATAGCTTCCCTGTGAGCAGCAAAAGGTTAATTTCGAATTTGGCGTTAAAAATGTAAATAAGCTCATCATAAATACCAGGCCACAAAGTAATTTCTACCAGACGCTCATTTGGTCTACAAGTAGCATTTAAGCATTCCCTGTTTCAAAGTTCAATCAAGTTATACTGTGATAGCATGTATCTCGATTTCCGCTTCATAGCCTAGTACGATGACCAAGGATACCTTTGCTTTAAAAACGAAAAGAAACAATAATGGCAGATAACTTCATTAATTAGAACAAAATATTTACTTGGAAAATACAGAGAGAGAAACAAAGATTTAAAGAAAAGTATTGGGTATAGGTCACAGAAGGAGACTATCGACCAAACGATTCATCTATCATATAATCTTTTTCACAAAATTTGTGTAGCTTTTATATCATGAAGTCTAAAATAAAGTCATCATTTTGAAACTATTGCGGACGTAATCATGTTTTGTTTATCGTTATGCAAATGTGTGCCACAGATGATGACGAATATGTTACAACATTTCAAGACTTTAACTACTATTTTGACTGTTCACCTAATTTAATTTTACATGAGAAACAAGACGAGTGTCACTAGTGGATCGGAAACTTTCTACCCTTCCGGAGAACCTGAGTTTATTACGTTAAAGTGGAGCTCATAAATTATTAGCTGTGTTGTCTTTTGTCGCCTATTGTTAGTTTTTTTTTATTCAGTTTTCAATAATATTCTTGGTTTCTTGGACATATGGTTCTTACTTGCTATCATTTGTACTTTTCCCACCCTTTTTTTAATACTAGTAGATCGAAGATATATTACCACTGATCAGTTAAAAATTCTAAACTAGAAAATAAAATTTACCTAAGAAAAAAACATTGACAAAAAGTAAGCTATGTGGTAGTTCGGACAGGCACATCTTGAAAAGCCAAAAATTAAGTCGAAAATTGAGCCTTGCATTTTTGATTTTTTTTAAATCATAATAAACAATTTTGATTCCATGCATGTATGTATTCTAAACTCGGAAATTTCATTCAATTAACATAATTAAGTGCCGACCTATTGAAAAACAAGAGGAAAAGAACATTTTTTTGAAAGTCAAAAAGATTCGATCTGAGAAGATATTATACATAAATTTACAAGTATGACCTTCAACTACACTTATATCACCAGAACCAAAGTGTTAGAACATTTTTTATCGAATATTGTGATATTAACTTTTGATGAACAATATAGTTGTGTCACTATACTGAACGAAACATGACAGTGGTGCTAGACGTCAAAGGTGCTTCGAATTTAAAAAGTAATACATCTACTGCGTGCATTTTTCGCCAGAAATAGTGTTATTTTGATAATGTAAAATCTTTCTGAGTTCTTTAATGGTTAAAAAGTAAATTAGAATACATGAAACAGCAGTAGTTTACCGATGTTCAAATTTCATAAATCATTTAAGAAGACAAATCAATGTAACACAAATACTGAGGGAATCACACGAACTCCAAATGGATCCAGAACGGATGCGTCGACAGGGTAAGCTTCTCTTGCTATGAATACAATACCCGCTTTGCAATTCATCGTCAGTTTAACGTTTTCTTAAATGATAATCTATAAAAGGCCCAAGAATGACAAAATAAGGAAAACGCTATCCAATTCCTCGCTGATCTGCTTAACTAGACGCGAAAGTCAAATTAGAATCATAATACCTGTATTTTGCTCATGTTTATTAATGAGTACAAACAGATCATCTGCAATAAGAGAAACTTGGAGCGTCTGTATCTATATTGTTTTCAACTTTCAAACCTCAAATTTATACAAAACTAAATGTAGCTTTTTTATTTTATAATATGTTTTGTAGTAAAGACTATATTTTAGATTATTTTTACCAATCGTTGATAATGTCACTCAGTCACTAAAAATGTAATATTGGTCTAATGATGTTCCTATGAGGGCATGTACTTATTCATTAATGAAATAAGTCGTCGTGCTAATGACAAGTAAATGTTTGGTGAAAAGTCAGATTCAGGGATGTCATAATCAAGGCAAAAGAGATGGAAGTGTTGTTACACTAGTTACAACATAATCATGGTTATCTACTACACATGTTCCATATCATGATCTTGGCTGTAAGTCATTCGAACGAATGACTTCGACTTGACCAATTTTATCGGGTCAATAGCTTCCTTATTAGTGACAAGTTGATCGTGACATGGAACATACGTTCTGAATCAGATCAACAGGAAGATATAGAATACATGTCCAGACGCGTCTATCGTGTTGCTTACCTACAGATTGAAAGTTCTAAATTAGAAATTTTTAAAACTGAAATCATCCTTGTTGTCGTACATTTTAAAGTTGACCTTTCAAGCAAATTTCAATGTCAGGTTTTAGATTTTGTCAAAATAGGAAACACACTTAACTGAATTAGTAGTTTCGATTTGATAGATGCATTCAACATTGTCACAACACTTTAAACTGTTTATTGAAAGGACATTGCCTAACAGTATTTACATGAATGTAAAGTTCAAGGATAATATTTGTTGCTTTTCACTGCTATTATAGTACTTGTATTTGTAATGTAGCTATGTTTATGGAACAGTTAATATCTTGTCACGCATCTACCTCATTATCACATTTCTGAAGGTTTATCTATAAATATACATAAAACCCCAGCTATACAAGTCTTTTAGGCATAACCCATTTCCATTTTTGAACGGAAAGTAGGGAAAGGTAAGTTTCATTTTTTATTACCTTTTATTCAAATTAGAAAATATTTACATCAATAAAAATATCATCAACAATACAAGGCTAATAATTAAGTACACCAGAGTTGCGCTACCTTTACTTTTAACTCATCGAATAATATTAAAGAAAGATGATTAACAACATGCTTATAAATGTTCGCTTAAGATATATGTAAGAACTAACCATTAACCACTATTTACCAAACAATATAATTGAACAACCACCATAATGTTCTTAAAGATACGCCAGCTATCTCTCGTTTTTAATACAGAAGAATCTTGATTGATAATTAATAATAAAACATGTGAAGAATGTATTAAAACTTATAAGTATTATCTGGACTTTATATGATTTGCAGAACCAGTATGCGTGTGTGGTATGTGACATTGCTGTTAGCATGTGTTTTGCTGATTCTCCCTGGTCATGAATGCAGGGACTCTGTTCTTTCGGCATCAGACCAGTCACTGATAGATATGATGAAAAATTACCTTCTCACGTCAAGGAAAGATGAATGTCCGCAGCAACGCGAAACGACCCACACAGGTTTTTACAATTGTGCCAACTTTTATGTATCGTGTTTTATGTTTGTTTATTAAAGTGGGAGACAACTAATAAAAGTAAGATAGGAAAATAACTAACTGATTTGAGCTATTAATTTCACGTATTTAATTGTACAAATCAACATGTGCAGTTTTCTTCAAAACAATTTTGATAGTAATGTAGTTATGAAAATACTCATACATCAAACAATATATACAATTTGTAATACTATGTTGTATTCTGAATTAAATAACACGGGTGTTATCTTTCTTTGAACATTGAAATAATATTTTCCTAATGTACTTTTTAGAATTGTCAAAACAGAAAGCATTTTTGTTTCCAATTTTGTTGTAATAACTTTACATTTTTATTTTGTGTTTATCTTTAGGAGTGTCTTATGTTCGATGGGGGAAGAAAGCTTGTCCAGAAGGAGTTGCCCTTGTGTATACCGGTAATTTAACAGTATCCCTATATAAGCGTATCTATATCCAATATCTAATTTCTAAACATTTCAGTAAAGTTTATCAACTTCATTTTTCTTCACAGTAATCAAGGGAAGAGAAATATTATCAGAGGAATAGTTGTTTCATTGGATTGGTAGCACGTTTTTTTTATACTAATGTTCACTGAAAGTAATGTTTAAACACTTGTTTTGCCTTTCAGGGCAAGTCGGTGGAAATAAATATACACATAGCGGAGGTGGTGTGAATTATTTATGCCTACCAAATGATCCAGAGAATGGGGAACATCAACCTTATGGCAATCCCCAGGTATATGGAGGTGAATATGAAGTTCGTTCAGGCAAGAAGCCGGCGGGATGGTCTGCAAGTATGTACAACAAGGAAATACCATGTGCTGTTTGTTACCAAAAAAGAAGATCAACTGTCCTGATGATACCAGGTATATAAACTTATGCGATGTGCACAATTCAAACGATTGAAGAATCATTTGAAAATACTATTCAGGTTAGTTTGATACTTATATCAAACAATGAATTTCATTACAGGCTTTTCAGAAGAACTTCATTTGTACCGGAATGCTCGTAACCAAAAACCTACCGAAATGAATTCCGGTAGATATGAATGTACTAGGCAACAGTAGTTTACCGAAGTTCTTTAACAAATCAATTAAGAGGATACAAATCAAGTAACAAAGAAAAAAAAGAGGGAATTTCATAAACTTTTTAGGAGCGAGACCAAAAGTAATTTCAATACTGAAAGCTCATACAAGAACAGCTGAAACTATTATGGTTAATTTGCTTCCTGAGTGAGATACATACATATTTTAATACACTTATTGGAGAATATTTCTTTTTCAATTGAATGTACAGTTTGACTGATTTTGATTCAATATTTTCACAAAAAGTTTAACAAAATCAAAACATCATGACGTAAATACAACCAGTCAGACAAATGATTCCATTTTCATCGTTAAACCCGGATTTTCTTTTCTTTTCCATCAAATCGTGTAAACGATTAAACGTTTAAAAGTTATTCTCTTTCTAACGTTAGGTATGCAAATGTTGTTTGGTTAACAAAAACAATAAGCTAACAAACAGATTTAGATAATAACTAAACATACATTGTATACACATGCTTAATCATATATATGATCATATATCATATGGTGTTACTATGTTGTAAAATTTTATTGGTGCAGATGAAATCTAAAACAAATTCAAAACCCCTAGCTCATATTATGAACCTAGTTTCTTTCTCTAACCAGATTAGGAAAATATAGCTATCAATTATCAAAATCATAAAGTGTAATAATATTGTAGGTCGAAAGTCATGCTATAAGGGATGGGACTCAGAATATAACGGTTATCTGATGAGTGATCACTATACTCATTATAAAAAAGACTTTGTATGTGTAGACAGAAAAGCAGAAACATTAGACAATAGTAATGCAAGTGAAAATGGAGCTTTGTTTTTTCCTCTACGAACCAGCTGTGGCAGTTTAAGATGTCCTCCGTATACAAATTCAGCAGATGTTTTTTGTGTCGTTTGTACAAAGTAAAATGTATGGAATTAAATATTCAAAACTAACATGGCTTCTCTTGTGTAAATGCCTTATTTGTTTTATATATTCTGTTAGATGCCTAGTTTGCCTAATCATTTTCAAAAATCAAACCAAGTGAAGTTTAAGGACTGAACTTATACCACATATAAACTAACGTATAGCTCTTTCTATGAAATAGAACTGACATGATTTTTTTTTATTAAAGAAGAAAATTGATGAATATTTTATTAATATTACTTAATAAATACATTTCAAGGATAATTTTCACAAACCCTCAATTTAATCCGGTGTTTATTTATCGTCCGTTTATTAAATTTGAATTAGATCGAGATAACGTCATTAGATGACGTCACTTGTCAGTGACACTTTTGGGTTAGACAGTTGTCGTCGGTTGAAGTGTTTTCAGAAATTGTATGATAGAAATTATTGATAGATGTCATAGTGATATTCCCGATATTCACATTCAGTAGACATCAGTTGGCACTATTGGTCAGCAAGTCAAAGCCAGAAGAGGACAGTAATGCGTCTCCTGAAAGCTCGACTTGAAATTTGAAATCCGGTAATGAACACCTTATTCTTATTAATTTACTTCTGTTTGATTGGTTTTTGTTGACGCTCTAATCGTTTCAATTAGTAAACCATTCGGTAAGTGTTTTGAGCTCAACATTCAAATGAAGATTTTACATTTTTTTGAAGAGAAAAACATTATGTATTGTTAAGATACAGTACACAAACCACTGATTATGTATCTTAACAGAGCCATTTTATATTTACAAAAGACTGAATCAGTTTGTTCATAATTGATTTTCTTTTATGATGCGCTACTCCAGTAATTATGATGTCCGTTTTCGTTCCATTCGTTTCCTAAGGAATATTGTTAAAATATGAAGACTCAGGATAACAATGCAATAATTATCAATTGAAAAGCATAAACGTTTGGTATTCTTGACTTTCATTACTCACTCCATGCGTTTATATTCAATACATTAGTCTGGGATCAATTTTAATTTCTCGGCTGTTATTTTTTTTGGTATTTTTTTGTTCAAGGTGTGACAGTTGGAATTGTGAACAAAGGATAAACTAAGGATGTGGTATAATTACCAATTAGACACTAGGGGTCGAAGGACGAGGATATGAGGAATAAGGACACCTTAAAGTCTTCAACAACGAGCAAAACCCATAACGTATAATAAGCCATACAAGACCACACCATGGCAAAATGTACCTCAATTCAAACAAGAAAACAAACGACCTGGTTTATGCTTAACAAAAAAGAAAATACATACATAACAGACAGCAACCAAAGAAACAATCGAGGTTCGAGGCATAACGGACTCGGTGTACTGATGCATTATCAGTAAGATATCGCAAACAATCGCATGATCTGCTGTGCAGCATGGAACTTGGAGTATTGTTAGAAACCGTCTAAACAGACATGTACTATATATTAACGTGTACCATTAACTTCAAAATGTAAGATCTATTCGATGAAAAATGAGTAAGTTGTTTCTGTCTCTTTCAGGAAAGTAGGTAGTACTAAAAGCTTCCTTTTCGGTCTTTATCAAGTCTTGCATGTTGCATGTGTTAGAGGACAGTTTTCTCATTGACTTTTAACTCTAAGCCTCCATATCAAAACGGTTATGATGTAGAAATCATGTAATCATGTCCATTGTACCTAATTGAATCCAGGAAGGTCCAAAACAGTGCATGATGGTCAGTTCTTTTTCACATCAAAACTGAGAAAGCTAAAAGCAATAATCAGGAGATCATCTATACCAAAATCTTTAACCATGTGTAGACTAAAAGATTTGGTGACTTCACCACAGACAGGACTTATTGTACTAAATTTTTTCGTTAACCAATTTGTCACATAAACCTTGATCTGTAATGCTATCAATGAAGACGAGTTAGGGGAGGGTTGGGCGCCCGCTAACATGTTCAACCCCGCCAAATTCTGCCTGTGCCTGTCCCAAGTCAGGAGCCTGTATTTCAGTGGTTGTTGTTTGTTTCTGTGTATCATATTTGTTTTGCGTTCATTATTTTGTACATAAGTTAGGCCGTTATTTTTTTTTTCGTTTGAATTGTTTTACAGTTGTCATTTTGGGGCCTTTTATAGCTAACTATGCGGTATGGGTTTTGCTCATTGTTGAACGCCGTCATGTCGTCTCTTGTGGAGTGTTGTCTCATTGGCAATCATGCCACATCTTCTTATTTTCATAGGCATAATTTCATGAATGATGTAAATTGCAATGAATTCACCAAACAGAAAAAAAACCAAAAACAACACATTTAGAATATATTCGAACATTGTACCATCACCAGTTCCACTAATAAACGAATTTTCATTATAATCATGAAATTTAACGTTTTTTTTTTGACAGTCTGAAATTCAGTATTTTTCAGACAATTACCTTGCAGTCAATAAATCTGATATATGAGAATAAGGAGATGTAGCATGATTGTCAATAAGACAACTATCCATCGATACCAAATGACGTAGAAGTTGGCAACTATAGGTCACCGTACGACCTTCAATAATTAGCAAAACCCATACCACATAGCAAACTAGAAAATGCATTGAAAATCAGTCTATATTCAGACTGTCCTGTTGTTGTTATTTACCTGCATAGCCCAACAAAAGTAGTCGACAAATCTTGAAAATACACGTAAAGAATCAAACGTTGTCAACCAACAAGTAATAATGCTGAGCTATTGTTTACCAAAAGAGATGTTTGTCAACAGTGTTAATGTTACGCTGTATTTTCAATATACTATTAATTTTACTTTCTAATATTTCTAAAGGTAAAACTATTACATTGTAATAAGAAAAGTTGTTCATCTTCAATTTTCCCATTGTTACAGATAGAACAGTACAATATACCTTTTTTTCTTGGAATATTAAGATGTCTTCCCCTTTCAATCATAAAAGTATGTGCACTTATACGTATTTGCATATTACTGCTCTATTATTTAAATTGTTCAATAGCTTAACATATAATGGTCTTTGACCCATTGTGTAGAATTCAAGAAAGAAATGAAGTTTAGAGTATTACTGTGTGTTTGCCTTTTGATTTTGCAAGCGTTGATCATAAATTCTTCGTTTTATTTTACTTAATTGCTGTTTTGTTAAACCACTATTTTCCACAAGTACACCAAACTAAGGCCAAAGTTAATACTTTGTGAACATATGTATGACGGCGCACTGCGAAATTTTGAATAAAAGAAACTATAAAATTAGCTTCTCACACAGAGACCGCAATTTAAATTCTTTGTTCGTGACGATATCTACATCAATTATATAATTTAAACTCATTATAGATACCAGGATTAAAATTGTATACGCCAGATGCGCGTTTCGTCTAAAAAGGACTCATTAGACGATCGAATCAAAAAGGGGGAAAAAGGCCAAATAATGTACAAAGATACCAGGCTTCAAATAATTTTTATTCTCCAGACACGCATTTTCACTTCAAAAACCTATAATGGCAGATAACTCAAATAATTAAAATTAGATATTACCTTGAAAATACAGAGAGAGAAACAGAGTTTTAAAGAAAACTATTGGGTATAGGTCACAGAGGGGGACTATCGACCACACGATAGATCTATAATATCTATTTTTTCATAACATTTGTTTGGTTCTATATCCTAAAGTCTAAAGTTGAATTCATCATTTAAAAACTATTGCTGATGTGATCATTTTCAGCAACAATCAGGAGATAACATCTATATCAAAATCTTTAAACTTGTTTGGACTAAACGATTTGGTGACTGCACCGCAAATAGGACTTATTGTATTAAAAGTGCTAGATAGTCAATGTGTCACATAAACCTGGATCTGTAATAATATCAATGTAAACTAAGAATAATTTCATGAAAGATGTAAGTTGCAATGAATTCACCAAACAGTAAAAATGTTTTTTTAGATTTTGAACATTGTACCGTCACCAGTCTCACTAGTAAACGAATTATAATCATAATCATAAAATGCAACTTTCATTTTGACAGTCTGAACAATTTATTTGTCATTTTCAGTTTTTCGGTCAATTTTCAGTTTAATCCACTGCAGAAAATTCAGTAGCGTTCAGACAATTTGCTTGCAGTCAAATCAGATTTGTTCATATAAAAACAATATGTGGTATGATTGCTAATTAGACAATTCGTCACCAGAGACCAAATGACGTAGACATTAGCAACTAGAGGTCATCGTACGGCCTTCGACAATGAGCAAAATTCATACAGCACAGCAAGCTATAAAAGGCCCCGAAAATCAGTCCATATTCAGAATGTTCAGTTGTTGCTATTAACAACATAGTCGATAATTAAAAAAAATCACTTGAAGACAGAACATGAATCATCAAAGCAAAAACTGGAATGTGAATGATGAGTGTCATTCTTGTAATAGAGCTTGAGGTAGGAGAGGCTGTAACATTAACACTTATTTCCGTTGTGCATTGAGGCATTTTAATTTCCTGACCTTTGGCTCTAACTTATATATAATATAATATACATACAGTAGCGATACCTATGCAAATTATATTTCAAAGTTCGGGGCATGGGCATAAGTACCCCCCCCCCCCCCCTTCCCCCCTTTCAAAATGAGTAGGTATTAGATAGCAGAAAGATACCAAAGGGATATTGTTACATGTAACAGACTTCGTCCTATCCTTCAGAATCCAAGTTAATGTAATGTTAGATGAAATTCCATTCAATTAATTACGCTCTTTAGATCGTCGAAGATTTAACAATAACATATTAAAAGAGTTAGCACAAATAATACACAGTTCGGTGAACAACTATGAAAAAGTCAATCAGCTTTTTAATAATCAGTCTAGAATATATTAGACACCAAAATAGTAATTATTCTCACTAAATAAATGTAACTTAAATATTAAGGTAATATACCATTATTGAATATTTGGTAAATATATCTTCTAATTCAAGATATGAAAAATATAAAACATACGTAAAAGTTTATTAAATATCAATCTACGGTTATGCCTAGTAACAAGCTTGCACGTCTTGC